GTTACCGTGCAAAAATTAATCATGTCTCTCTAACATAAATAATATTTTTAAGTAATCATTGTGCTTACAATAAAGTTTAGTCAGAGCCCTTTAATTTGATATTACATTTATTAGGTCTATTTCTATTAGTTTACAAGATAAAAAGAGGGTGGACACTTATACGGGGACAACCTGTATATAACATATTAAGAAAAAAAACATTGATATAAATGCTCTTAATTAGTAAATAAATAAAAATTATTTATAAGTAAATAAAATATAAATTAAATATACTTTTTTGTAGACTTTCTTTGAAAGATTTAATTTAAATTATATGAATTAATTATAAATATGTATAATCAATTGCAATGTATTATAATTATAAAAATTAAAACAGATTAATCATTTTACGCAATAAAATATAGAAATATGTAATTGATTGTAAATGAAAACCGTTCAGGTGTTTGAAACATCTTTGTCTGGACAGATTGGACAACTTGGGATGAAATTATAACCGTGCGTTGAATTCGCTTTATTCAAAGAAATCCAATAAATTCTAATGATCTCAAAGGGCAGCTACGGACGACTATTATTTATGGGTACAATATTCGTACTTGCTGCTACGCCTTCAAAAGCAGTTTTCTCAAAACAAAGAGTCTTGATTGACGAGAACCCTTCAGTCCTGCACATTTGCGGAAAATTCGTTACAGTCGAGTTCGACTCCACGTAGTTGCAGCTCCAATCGTTATAACATGCGCACAATGCGGCATTTCTGTTATTAATACTGTCCGATAAATTCGAAAATCTAAAAACAGCTCTTGAAACATATCCAGGAATGTCCTGCACACATTTGTCTGCAAAATATTACACAACGCTGCGTATGTTTCCGGTTTTTGCTAAAAGATTAATATCGCTTGATGCGATTACGACAAAAATTTCATAGCAATTTAACATCGCACAATTGATTTGAATTGAGCGATAAATAACATAGTAATTATAAAATATCGTAAAATAAGCGTTTACCACTCACAATCTTTATTGTATGATGAGAACGATAACTTTTTGCAGATAAATTTATAAATTTATTTATATTGAAGAAATCATTAGAGAGTACTTGCTTCGAAATAATGTCAAAGAGGAAGTTTTATTATGTTTATATCTCTTTTATTATGTTTATTTATTTTAATGAAAAAGTTGAGATAGTTGTAATTTCGATGGATATTTAGATAGCGTATTTATTTATTTTAATTCAAGATGAATATAATTTCGATGAATGTTTATATATTGTTATTATTAGATGATATTTTCTTAAATATTTGCTTTTATTGATAGCGAAGAAGCAAAATAAAACTTTATTGATGAAAAATACGTTTTGTCGTATCTGTAAAATGGGAAATATTAAAACTACCGTTTTCGATTTCTATTTCAAACTGTCCACGAAGACTCTCTCTGCTATTCAATAGCCCAACTGTTATTCAAAGAATTTCCTGTATCTATTTGTATATCTAGTGCCGATAGTTTTACTTTTTTTTAGCAACAACCACAGAGTAAATATCTACGAACATATAATATCCACACATTCATGATACTTTATTTTGTTTATATTTTATGTTATATATTATTTAAATTATTTAATTTAATAATTCAAATTGTTTTGAAAATTTTAAACGGTTACGTTTTAAATATAATTAATAAAAAAATGAAAAACAATATTATTTTTACATAATTATTTTAATACTATAAAATTATTATTTTTTTATTAAGAAAATTGTTTTAAATTACAGAAAACTTAAAAAAAATTGACTTTTCTGTTTTATAATTTCTCCAACAAATACGCTTATTCGGAACGTAATTGTTTTATACATATGTGCATAAGCACGACAGATGTAGACATAGTTATGGTAGCGAAATCGATTACAGCGACCCATATCTAAAAAAGGGATCAAACACCAGAACGGATTGCACTGAAACAATTCTAGATCTTTATCTCTCTTTCCGCTTAAAAATAATGCATTTTAAATCTTTTATAAGTTTGCAGAATTGAAATATTTTACAAATATATTATATAATGATAAAAAATAGCTATTTATATTGCGTTAAATATTTTAATATATTATATTTATAAATTTTTAAAAATGATTTTTTAATGCAAGTATATTCAAAATAATGGTTAAAGATAAACCTTTAATGCCATTTAAACTATCATAAATTTTTAGATAATGAAAAGAAAATCGTTTACTGATCTAAATGTTTAATCAAACTCGACTAATATGTTCGTGATCGAAATACCATTAGTTAATGTCAAATATTTGTTTTTAAGTAAAGAAAAGTTTATAGTGAAAACTTTAAGTAGGTACAGAGAGGGGTTGTAAACAGTATTTTTCTGTACATCTATATATTTTTTTCTAATATGCAAAATTCTTGGAAAACTCTATTTGCACTAAAATTGTTGCAGCGAAAACTTGAGAGAAATTTTTTACCTGTATTTTATTTTCTATGTCATGTCGAGCAAAAAATTGCGGTAAACTTTTTCGAAGTAGTTAAATTTACTTTTACCGTCAAACGATGTGAAAATGGTACTACATTTTTACATCTACGATTATTCGTTTATGAAATACATATTTAAAAGTTGTTACTGTACCTAGGCTATTAAATTCATGGATATTCTGCTTGTATGTATGTTATGTATGTACCTACAGTCCGGCAATTTGTGGACATATTTGTTTTCGTTGCTACGTTACATTCTATCTCTTCGTTGCGCATTTTTACGTTATCTGTGTGTAAGCTGCCAGAACGAAACCTGAGAGTAACCGTTTCGAACGATTCGCATGCAGACAATCGTGATTAATTGAAATCGTTCGAAATGGTTCTATTCGCAATTAATATGGTGTAAGTTTTAACCGCAGCAATGAATATCGAATATCTTTCTTTAAATAAATGCGTGTATAAAGAGGATTAAATAGTAATGATTTTAACAATTTATATATATGTATATTATTTTTTCAATTTTTTCAAATATACATATATATATATATATATATATATATATATATATATATATATGTGTGTGTATATGTATAACATATTTGAAAACGTGGAAAAATAAAATATATCCGTGATATTCTTAGGAATCGATTTCCTTTTATTGAAAAGATAAACGCGCCTGGCAACATGTTGGAATATTAAGGCAGCTATTCTACAAAAGATAAAAAATAAAATAAAATAAAATAATTGCAATTTTTGTGCTTTATCTTCTTAATGATAATTAAAAATACGAAAATATATTAAAATAAATATATAATTTTAACTTTAGTTACGTTATGTCAAACTTTTTTTTACATTGTGTTAAGCTGATTTCAACTTTTCTAGGTATAATGTCGCATCATTATCGTACTACCTATAGTTCTATTAATTATTATTGTATTTAGTATTTTAATAAAGAATAAATTTATATTTACAAACAAATTTGAGATAAAAAGTACTTGTGACATAGAATAATAAGTAATATTAAAGAATGTAATATTGAAAGAAAGAAATTTTACGTAGAATGTTATTTTTCTTATAAAGACAATGCGTTTCGTCTTGAGGCAATGCATAACCCAGGTCCTCGAAATATTTTATTATCTGAGATAACAGGATGGACTGAGACTCTCTCGCCACAATCCGTTCTATTTCATCTTGCAGGATCGATAACGATCGCGCGCGATCTCGTTGGTCCATTCGTCTTATTCGACTTTCATATTTCACGGTGTAGTATCCGCCCAGTTTTTATACATTATAAACCATTCTCTCTCGCGCTACTGGCGATTATTTATGGCTGATCTGGAATCCACCGCGTCGTTCCAAGTGGGAGTATCTTTATCAAATGTTTATCGATCGACCCACTACCGTTTAAACTGTTTCCTCGACGCAAACATGCCTTGATTCTCACACAGATAAAATTTCTCACATATACGAGCTTCCCATGGGACAATGCAGCCTCTGATTTTCACGAAGCCGAAGAAAGAATACGATCTTTTTTATGCGAGTCGCTTTTTGTGTGAGAGTTGAGTGACGTGTGAAATACATAGATAATGCAGTGGTATCATCAGGAGCACGTGGAAACGTGCATATCATTTGAGTTTAATTAAAAATTCGCCTTATACACGAGATAGATGATTTAAATTCATCGCAAATAACGACATTTTTGTATATTTTCGTAATATTAAGGATTCTTTCATATTCATCTTACTTAAAAGTGATAGATATAAAAAAATAATTATGTAATTATAAAAAAAATACCAATAAAGGATATAAATTTAACGTGTTTTTTTTAACATTACATTCATTTTTCAAATCGACATCTAATTTTTATAAGAATAGAGAAACTTTACTTTCAGAACAGAAATCATTATCGTTTGACATAAAAAGAAAATGTTATACATATCTTAAAACTACTTCATTTCGATGCACAAGAAACCATTTTGCATATTTTCTGTGATTTCATAAAAACGTTTAAAAAGTATACTTGATAATTTAAAATACCAAAAGAAGGAGGAAGCTTGCACAGCTGGAGAGCGCCAGCTAAGATTTACAATCTTAATAAAGGGAAATTACAGTCAATACTCATTTAAACGACACCTTATAATCTGACATTATGTTCGTTGTTGATAGTTATTAGAATTAAGTATGTTCTCGGAATTCCCCTCTCTTTAAATTGCTTCTCAGTTCAGGTTGCCATTACTCAGTCGCTCTGTGAAAGCGGAAACAATGCCGTAATTCACTTAATTCGGCGAGCCGGTGGAAAATTCATTTGCTGCTGGAACCGATAATGGACTGGTGTGGCTGGTTTTAAAAAGTCACCATGCAAGTTAGGATTAGAATCGAATTAAATATTGTGAATATTGCGACAAATAAAATATAAATCTCTAATACTTTTTATTAGTTATATAGATTTTGGTATGGTACTTTTGTTAATACAAATGTTATTTTCTGCATTTTTAATTATACTAATAATATTTAAACAAATCAGTATGGAAAACTGCTTAATTACTACGTAATTGTTTAAGTTCTCTATTATATTCATATAAGTCTCATCGTGAACAAGATTGTAATTTATTTACTCTTTCATATAATGAAAATTATCTTTAATTCTTTGAAATTTAATTAATTAGTGCAGTAATATTTTATGTTGATTATATGTTTTATACATTTAATTTTTTTTGCTATTTTGGTTTTTTGCATTATAAAATAAATATCTTAACAACGCTGATAATTTACTGGTATATTATTATAAGTTGTAAAGATAACATTTTATTTTGTCAAATACATAAATAAAAATATATAAATTTTTAATCTGTATAAAATAAAAATTTTAATACTATTGAATTAAATAGACTAAATGTCAATATATGCATGTTAAATATACAGAGGCTTGTTCGATAAAGTGATTTGTTTTCGACAAAATATTTTGACGGTGACAATATCAATTCGGACGAGGAATGTATTCTGTTCGATGCGCTTTTCTTCTCACATACTTCTGAATATAACTTCTTTTTTTTTATAGCACTTGAGATCTCTCTCCTGCTCTGTCTTATTTCCACAGTCTGTTTGACTTTTCTCATCCAATTTTAGCAAACTCGCGTACGTTCGTCTCTTTCCAATGTGATCCATTTCCATATTTTGCAGAAACGTCGGCATTGGACGCCATTTCGCCCGTCTATATTCGCGTGATCATAGAAAGTTTTAAAAGTTCCACCCCGATCACTTTTATCTATATTCATATTTTCACGTGCACATGTCGTGATTTTTAATAAATTTCAAATTCAATTGATATGCGTCTCATCGTCCGCAGGATTCACATTTCGATTCGATATGTCCTACAAACGTTTTGCATATTCACTTTTCGTGACAATGCAAATAAAAAATCTGGTCATTCGTATCTTCGTAATTGATCGGCTTATATACATACATATATAAACAAAAAAATTAAAATTGATAAATATTTAAAATTATTTTTTTTTATTTTAACTGTCATACATTGAATGACGCATTGTTAAGAATTATCGTATTTGCTCTATGGTATTTGAGTGCGTAATAATTATTACATATTATTTTACGTTTCGTGCACTTACGATTGTTGAATATCACGATAAAATAGCTTAAATAAAAAGTAAATTCTTAATGATTTCTGATTATTATAAAAATCAAGTATTAGAAGAAAAATGTGGCAGTAATTTGAACAATTGGAGATGCGATGAACTAAATTGTAAACTTAATCTTATAGTAAGATTGTATAAAGTGTCTTATGTGTGTTTAGGGTAATGGATTCTTCTTAAAAATCATCATGATGTTTTACAACATACGCACCGCAAAACAGAAATTATCATTTATGGATCGAGGGTAAACGCCATGGCGAATCAAACGGCTGATTACCATGAGGACATTTATCAATGGAATCATACGGTATCGGCGGACGAAGAAGATACGAAGCCAGGATATTACCTACCCGATTGGACCGATCTTATTCTAGCGGGATTATTCACGATGCTGATTATAGTTACTATAGTAAGCAGTCATATTATTCGATGACTGAAATTACCAGCATTTTTATATTGGCATGAATATTTTTTACATTAGAATATCTACTTTAATGGCGCGCTGCATGGACGCATAATTTAACTAACTAAGACACAGCGCCTTAAGTGATTTGAATAATTTGCATTTTAAAATATATAAAACAGTAGCTTCAACAGATTAAGTATGTACTTAAAGGAGTAATATAATTTAAAAGTATGTACTTTCTGTGATACATAAATCTGAGTGTAATTTTAATGTGTTTGCTCACATATATTTTCAATCGATCGTGACTTTTTTTTCACATTACATAGGTCGGCAATACCCTAGTGATCGCGGCTGTAATTACCACGAGGAGATTACGGTCCGTGACTAATTGTTTTGTGTCCAGCTTGGCTGCTGCGGATTTACTAGTCGGTCTAGCGGTGATGCCGCCGGGTGTGCTGTTACAGGTACGCATGTGCTCGTCCACGGGGATAAAATGCAATAAACGAGCGCGAAATGTGTCCAATTTATCTTCAGTAGTAAGCTGTGAGCTTTCACGTAAGCCATTGTAGGATCTTATTAATTAGTTAATTATCGCAATTGGTATATATTATTCGCGGAAGGAAATAAACTTGCGAGCCGATAATGATATTTAGAGCGATATTTAATACTGCCAGCATTTAATAATTCTGTATACGCATATAACGTCGTAAGCCACGATTCCTATATAGTCAACATTATCGTTATGCAAAAAAAAAAATGTTCTTTCCTATGTTGTGTAAATCGCATATTCGTGCGTTTTATCAAATGGGATATCCATTGAAGCTTACAGGAGGAACTTGGGAATTAGGCGAAATACTGTGCGACTTTTGGGTCTCCCTCGACATTCTACTCTGCACAGCCAGTATTCTCTCGTTATGCGCCATATCTATAGACAGGTAAACCCGATCATACGCATTTCCAAATCTCATCACGTAGATAACGGAATTACCGGAAAGCCATCCGAACCGTTCAATCTTTTGTAGAATGATAGATTATTCCATTATTAGAAAAGAGATTTCGTGCGACGTAAATTTTCTAACATCCGGGCTTTACGGATAAACTCGACGGCAACAGCGGATAGGTTTTCCAACTAGAAAGTTCGGCAAAAGTATTTTATATTGTGTTGATTTTATTATACGATTAAACGAGTCAACATTGCTCAATGAAAGCAATTTTTTCTTGCATCTTTTAATTTTTTTTTCTCTGTAGTTACGTATGCATAATAGAAATATAAACATTTCTATTTTATCATTTGCATATTATTATATACGTTATATAAAAAAGTCTTATTTAACACGTATAGTATACTTATGTATAATATATATGTATATATTATATATATATAATTTTTATTTTAATTTATTATATTATTAAAAAACAAATGCGTAAAATAAAGGTTTTTAATTTAAATAAAATTCTGAAAGCAAAGAAACTGCTTGCAATATAAGTTCTTGGTTTTTATTGTTGTCTGTATAGTACATGTACAAGCCAAATGTTTACCTTTTTTTACGTTCACGTAAATTAGATTTTTTCTTTTTACATTGCATGCTGTTCTGAGAAGCTTCTACTCATCACATTGCAGGCTGCATACACAGGTTGCATAAACTTATTTAATAAACAAGTTAAAGTTACGATTCGTTGCGCTTTAAAAATACAATTTTGGTACACATATATACGTATCTTCTTACTAGGAATGTAATTTAGCCTTCGAGATAAGGGTGCTCCGAAAATTCTGAGACGATTCGTTCAGCATGTCCCATTTGTCTTTCTATTTTTCCGCCATTGCGCCCTGCACTTTGCGGCGATTCAGCACGTACGGAGGTAAAACTGTACGGAATTTATCGCATCATTATCGGTATTTCCTTGAGCAAGGTATCTGGCTGTGACTCAACCGCTGATATATAGTCGTCGACGTAGAAGCAAACGACTGGCCGGGTTGATGATCGTCGCGGTATGGATTATGGCCGGCGCAATAACGAGCCCGCCTTTACTGGGTTGTTTCCCACGTGCGACGAACCGCGACGCCAAAAAGTGCTCCTACAATATGGATTCCTCTTATGTGATATTCTCGGCGATGGGCAGCTTCTTCCTGCCTATGCTGGTGATGCTGTACGTGTACGGCCGAATTTCGTGCGTCATAGCGAGCAGGCACAGAAATCTGGAGAAGACCAACGAAGGGGAGAACATCCGATCGCGTCGTAAAATCACAGTGAGTCAACTATTTGATTTAGTTTTCCCCAGACGCACGATTGTATATCTTCCGGTATTACCTGTTCTTTCTATCATATATAATTCGCTTTTATTTATAGATACTTATCTTGCTTAATTTCATAGAATTTATATGATGCATCTATACATATTATATGCTTGTTTTTAAAATAAACAAGATTTTCTACTTAAAAAATTCATCTTAATGAATTTCAGATATTAATATTATACGAAAGTTTAATATAAATACGCTGTTTTTCTTCGTCCGCTTAATTTCATAACGCTGTTATTTATTCAAATGATCATTGAGCTGTATCATAAAAATAAAACTTTAATGTGATTAATACAAATCACGTTTTCCTGTACTAACAACTGTCTATACATTAATCTTCCTAATATTACGCTTTGTTTATTAGCCCGGTAGATGATATTGTAAGCTAATTCTGACAGGGGATATTAATGACTCGTTGTTGAAATTCTACTCGATCAATATTCTAATTTGCGATTATATCTCACTAATAATTGATGATTATAAAAACGTCGTACAAATGTGTAACATTGAAATCTGCATGTAGATTTAAAATAAAAAACTGAAAATCATATTCTTTTTATATTTCTCAAGAAAAAAGAATTCCCAAAATATTTTTTATCGGAAAAAAATATTTTCCTACAATATTTATTTCACAGGATATAACATTCTTCTGTTTATACATTTATTTAAAAACATTTTAGTGCGTAAAGAGACAGGTTGAAAGTACATTGGGTAATCAGGGAAATTGTTCACAACAACAAAGCAATAGTGTTAATGTAAATTTGATAACGAGCTATATCGAGTTCAAAGCAAGCGCGCATTTCCAATTAGGAAAATAAAAACTTATTCTGCAAACTGTACCGTGATTCCAATTAGCACCATCGATCAAAGATAACGAAACCGTTTTCGTGGTTTTATTGAAAAGGAGATTAGTGAAACTGACGGTTCTCTCTCACAAGCGACGGACGTAGAATGGTACAGCTTTAATTCCACTATGGGATGTCGACACGGATTCCTCGTAATCCATATTACCCGACTTCATATAATCGATTATCAATTATTTTGCACAATATGTCTTATCGACTTTGTCAGATTTAATTACATAGCTGCAAAAATATCATTTTAATACAGAAGAAAGAGAAATTATCAAATATCACGCAAAAAATGTTTCTTTCATTGTTTATTAATGATAAAACTTAATGACGAAAATTAATGATTAAAAATATGCGGTTTATATTTAATTCACTTATAAATCTGATTTTTTAAAACGATTTCAGCACGTTTGTATTAATCTATAAAGGTGATATTGGTTTATATTGTAAAACTGAATAAAAGTAGTTTAAAATTCTTTCGGTTGGCAAACAAAATGGCACAAGTAGACATTGAGCGATTTATTACGGTGGCAGAATAAGAAACGTTTCGAAAGAGAAACAAGCGATTGCGGTTTGTAAAAGAAAATCTTCTCACTAATACGCTTCCCTTGCGTTGGAGATATTGAAAATCCCGAAAAGTTACAAAGCCCTGGAATTTAATTTCATACCTTTTTGCATTGTCATTTTCAAACTGCTACATTGTTTCAGCTTGAGAAGGCTTAAATTGGTAAAGAGGGCTTAAATTAATTGATTTAACAAATGTGCAATTTCCAATATATCATAATATATCAATGCGTGAAATGTATGAAACGATTTTTTTGCAGATTGATCGTGGCAGAAGCATCAAGACACAACGTACGGATTATGCCGAGAGCGGTATGACGTGCGGCAGGTCATCCGAGGATACCGAATTAACAAATATGTGCAAAAAGTTGGGTACAATTCGAGGTAATCAGCAAAGCTGCATCAACAGGGTCGCCAGGGAGACGAAAACTGCGGGCACCCTGGCGGTGGTTGTTGGTGGTTTCGTCGCATGCTGGCTGCCGTTTTTCATTCTGTATCTGGTAACACCCTTCGTGCCCGTGCAGCCGCCGGATGTTCTCATGCCAGCCTTGACATGGCTAGGTAGTCTCTTTTTCATACGATGTCCCCAAATATCTACAGTATAATGTTTCCAAATTTTTTTTTATATTTATGGATTAACGAATTTAGATTAACTATATAGCAAATATCTGGAGAATACATTTGTTTAAATAACTTTAAATAACAATTATATTTTAAGGTGGTTTTATCGTGCAAATCCCAGTCAAAAGTTAGTCCCTCCATATGACTAATAATTCAATAAAAACATTTCGCATAGACTGTACATATGCAATTGTGTGACGTTTACAACGTCACATTATCGAGTTGGCGTTGAGCGATAAAACCACCTTAAATTAAGATTATTTTAGTTAAATCAAAGTTCAATTAAAAACGTACAGATTTGTTACAATAGAAAATAATAAATATACAAATTAATTAAAATATGATAAATTTATTTATATTGTACCAACATCTGCAGTTTTTAATTTATTTTATTATAATTTGTTTAGAATTATAATTGTATAACATATTAATATTATCACATTTTTTTCGAAATTAAAAATGATTTTATGTGTTTAGGATGGATTAATTCGGCCATCAACCCGTTTATTTACGCTTTCTATTCGGCGGACTTCAGACTTGCTTTCTGGCGACTAACATGTAGGAAATGTTCAAAGAGTAGACTGAACTTGGATGGCACAAATCGGAAATTACCCGCCTCGGTTAACTGGAAGAAAGATACGTCGAGGACGTGAAGTTCTCCGCCAGAGTTTCAAACTTATTCAATAATGTGGCATCCGGTATTAGAATGACTGTGGTTGACTCAAGTTTATTCGCAATTGATATCTGTTAATGAAGCGTGACGTGTGTGAGAACTATATATGTACGTTATTAGTATGGGTTTGTAATCAATCAATATCTCTTACGCAGGTTTATAAAATTTAAATATTTCACTATGATGCATATACGCACAATATACTTTCGAGTATGTGTAGCTATTTTTAGCTAGATATTGGCTTAAATAGTCATTTATTACAACGTCCAATATAATTGAACACTATAGTTTCGTTAAATGCTTATAGATTTCGGAATTATGCTCAATTAAATTTTAAATTAAACTTTAAAAAGCTTTTTACAAGTTCTTGTAATTTTTAAAAATAAATTTGATCGAAAGATAAGAATATATTACGATAATATATATACTTATATAAGTTTTTTTTACTTGTGTTTTTTTATGTATATAATGCAGTTTTGTTATGACAACACACATTAAAAGTATTACACATTGAAGTTTAACATTACAATATAGCGCCAGTAATAGATTCAGTATTTATATTTATATAAAAATGTGTAAGTGAATTTGGATGAAAGGTAACTCGAAGCATGTAGCGAATTCTTCTGATAAGCACGTGACAATTCGAAAATAGATATAAAAATAGAAAATTTATGAATAGTATTTTAATTAGTAATTAATCTAATAGGAAAAACAATGTACGACTGACACTTAATCTGTGATCAATATCCCATCATTATCGCATTCATTCGTGATATTTGTATACGAAGAATAAACAATTAAAAATATCTATGCTCGTGTTATACGTACACTCTCTTTCCATATCTCTTTAAACTTTACGCAAATAATGCGTATACCAAACTTTACACACGTACTTTATATCTCGTAATTTATGTTTTTGAGGAAAACTTGCTACATGCATCGAATGCTTCTGAGTAATATATATACATACTTTGGTATCGTTAATATGTGATATTATTCTAATATAATAATTTATTTATAATTATTTATAAACAGTATATAAAATATAGCAAAACGTAATATATATACTTATAGTCATGCGAATTTATAAATGTGAATGTAGAATCGAAATTTATAAATAGAATCTAGAAGATATTTAATTATATTTTAAGAATATTAGGTAAGAAATATTTAAATTATAAACTTATGTACACATAATGTAGATACTAATATTCAAATAGTTATTAGTTATTTGAGATGGTAGATATTGCTGCATAAATTTCATATATTATTGTATATAATTTTATCAATTGTTAAAGACTGTGTAGATATTGTACGTAATAGATTTTGCTGGGAAATAGAAAACCAATACAATGTGTATTTTTAATTCGTCATTAATGTATATATATAATTTCAAATTATTAATATATCTTACCAATTATTTTTATATTATTATCATTACACACACCACACATACACACACACACACACACACACACACACGCACACACACACACACACTACGCGCGCGCGCACGCACGCACGCACGCACGCGCGCACACACACACACACACACACACACACACACACACACACACACAGAGGAAATACTAGATACATGATATGCATAAAATCTGATTCATGTATGTACTATATATATATAAAATCCGTATCATTATCACTGCTAAATATATAGTATATTATTGATTCTATTCAATAAATAAATTTCTTTGTATAAATGAAAATCACAAATAGATATATAAACGTGCTAAAATCAAGAAATTACACTTTTATTGTTTATTAAAGTATGTCATGTATGTTTTATGATATGTTAATGACAAACTGTAAATTACATTATTGTATATAATACATAAAACTGTGAAACTTTTTTTTACTTAATACTGTATTGCTTAACACTGAACAAATGTAATTTCTAATTCTCTAATTAAAACAAAAATATTTATTGCTTATTACAAGAAATATTATATTACACTTACATTTATAATATTAAGATATTTTATTTTAAAGTAATGTCCATGTTATAGATACAATATTTCAATAAAATAAAATAAAGTACTTGATAAAGTTTAAGAAAATTATCATGCATGTATATTTTTAAGGTTAAAAACGCTTAATTAATACTGTTATATAATTATGTGTTATTCTTACTTCGAGAAAAGTCATAAATATAAAAAGTTATAGAATACATATAAATTACAATGGGGAAAAGAATATATTTTTAATTTATTTTTTTTAAATTTAAATATTATTTTAATAGTTGGTACTATATTATTAAATATAAATTAAGGGATCTAAGAAAATACATTTTTTTATTAAATAAATTATCATATTTATTACCGTCAAATGACATTAAGTTTTTAATGCGTTTATTATTCATGTTTATGACATTTTTTATAATTTACAAATATTTGCTTTTTTAGAACTTATCTCTTCAGCTTTTATAATGCATTCCAAAATTATTATTATTATTATTATTATTATTATTATTATTACGTTAAAATAACAAATAACAAATTTTACTTTTTGGGATATCATTTATTTGCTTAGAAATATAATTAATATAAATTATTATAGTTTTAGATACGTCAATAAAGTTGCACCTGTCTGTTTTACCGATTAAACACAATAATTTGTGTTAGAATTTATATATACTATTTTAATAGATTTAATATATTATTTTAATAGATTATATTGCAAGTTTAATGTTTATATAAATGTAAAAGTTGAAGCAAAAAAGAACATAAATTTTAAATCATGTTCTTAACTTACATAATTTTCTATCTACTTCGTATTATAAATTTAAAAATATTGATGATTCGGATATTTTAGTATTTTTTCTATTGAAAAAGCCGATATTATTTAAAACAGAATTTTTTTTATTTTTAATATACCAAAACAATCAAAATAGATCTTTTTATTAGAAATATTACACATAGATTTTTACATATTAATTATATGTTGGCTATTTTCATTTGTATTCACTATTTTTCGGATTCATTCTGATGTTCATGCTCATGCTCGCATTCTTGGTTTTCAGAAGTAGGAAAGATTTTATCTTGAGCTTTTAGGAAACATTCAGTAAGAGCGAAAGCTTTTTCGCATTTTTCTGTAAGGTTCTTTGCTGGAATAGAAAAAATTAAGAAATGTTAAGAAATAAAGCGCGTATGTTTTCTGCGCTTATTTTAATTAAAATTTCTATCATTGATTAAATTAATTATTTAATATCTAATTAATATTGTAGATATGTAGTTTTATTAAATGTTAATAGTAATTTTTTATTTATTAAGAACTAAATTTCTCCCATACATAATCTAATTATATAACTTACTTTCATTTATGCAGTTGTCTAAAGCTTCAAACAGTTTATCTTCTGGTTGAGCATTTGTTTTTTCAGTTTTTTCAAAATTAGGATGATATTCCGCATTTTGCATCTAACAGGACAAGCATATAAAATATTAATAATTTATAGATTACATTAGACTATATTTAAAAATGTGTATGTATAGTTGTTATATATGTAGTTATATATATAGTTATATATATATATATATATATATATTGTTGTTATATATATAGTTGTTATATATGTATATATAGTTTGTACTGTTCTTGAAATAATATTCTATATTGTGATAAATATACAACCGCAAAATTAATTTGTCAATAAAATTCATAATTAAAAAATTAATTTTAAAACTATATATGGCTTCAGATGAAAAATGTTATCAGAAAAATTACATTTCTATATGAATAATGTTTTTACATCTTAATAGTTTGTAGCTTAGATTATTTTAAGAAAATAAGAAAAATTATTTACTATTCCTGCTTTTTGAAATAGACATTGTGCAACACAACCATTCATTTTTATTTTGTTCTGGTCTTCGGATTTGTGTCGGTCGTGTATTATATCTTGCAGTGTGAAAATGTCATCTAGAAAATAAATAAAGTTTGATAAGATATAAATGTTGTGTTCACGTAAAGAAAAAAGAAGGTTTCGTGTTTGTTTACAAAACGATTGCCTACAATTTCATTTATAATCAACTATTTTACACGGTACATTGCACATAATATTTTGTTGCATACAACGTGTTGCACACATGATCATGTTAAAAATTTATATGGAATTGTACAGTTACAAATTTCGCATTGCACCTGCATTGAGTGAAGGGAGTGGAGGGAGATAGATCTCGTTTAATCAATATGAAATCGTACTTTGAGTGGAGAATTTCAAATTCATGTAAAAAAGGACAATTATGAATCTCTTTGATTTAAAATGTACATGTGCAGATTAGTCATATGCGTAACATGTGTGCAATAACGATCTCAATAACAACTTTTTTAATAAATAATCAACTCATATTAATTTACAGTATAGATACTGTTGCAATATGATAATAGCATATAATACTTTTATTAGAAAGAAATTGACTTAAAATTAAACATAATATCTTTAATTCTGTAAAGAATTACAAAGAAAATTAACTAAACTTTACATTATATGTGACAGTGCGCGCGCGTGTGTGTGCGTGTGAACTTACCATCAGATACATTATTTTCAGTTAAGCAAGTAGTATAATTTTTGTCTCCAGATCCAAGCTTCTTTGAATCAACAGCAAAAGTCTAAAATATACGAAATTTTATTTTATTCATTACTTTAATTAAATATTTCTTTTAGAAAAAGAACATAAACGCATAGATTACTATGTGTTAACTATATGTATATATGACAATAATATAATATTTATAGTTAAGTTGCAAACAAATTATTACGTCTACAAGAAAATGTTTCTTTCTTATTAATATTTAATTTTTATGGCAGAAAGGTACTTACAACGAACATAAAAGTACAAATATAGAAGACGATTTTTTTCATCTTATTCATGCATGCACAATTAATCTACTATCTTTAAACGTACTTATAGTACATTAACGCAATGAAGCCTAACAGCATCATCGTATTTATACTATATCTGTAATACATAAAATGCAAAAATTAGAGATCGCGAGATCATAGATCAAATAAACATGAAGTACATACGCAACAGAAAATATAATGATAAATCACTAACACAAACTCATTGTTGCAAGTATAAGTTACTAAGATGTGACGTAAACATGCAGTTTTATCATATATTTTCAATTTTATTAATGTTGTATATTCTTATTGCTTATAAGTGTTATCTTTCAGTCTTTATGCTACGTTGGTTGAGTCAAGAGTTTATAAGTTTATCTCTGCTGTATATACTTTTTACATCCTCAAGTTTTGTCGATTAATACGTCATAAATGAAGATTTATTTGGATAAGCTTACATAAAAAAAAATCACCGGTTGGACAAATTAGCATACAATTATTCATTACGATTATTTGAGGATCTACGCTTTAATCTCCGTTTTTTGTTAAAATATTCAATACAGATTCTTTATATGAACCGATTCCGTTAAATTTTAAATGTTACTGTAATATTGAAATTGTAAAAGTACACTTCCTCCAACTGGGCGACGACGACGACGATGATAATGATGAGAACGTTTCTTAAATCTTAATTTTCACATTTTGGAATTTGCATTGTAAAATCTCCGCTCGTAGGACACGTAGAGAAAAAATAAAGACACTTTCATTATATAAATTAAACCAAATCTATCGATTAAGCCTAGTTAGAACTTAATCGGTTCGACTGTTATCGAGATCTCAAAATCTCGGGTGCTCGCAACGCGACGGCTCGCGTTAAGAGCCCCGGCATGGCTTGACATACTTATATGACATATCATTTTTATACACATACATATATTTTATATTATATTTTATTTATATTTATAGTTTTTTAAACACTTGGCACCAAGCCACTACCCTGTCTCCTAATGTCCATAATTTCCATAATGTCCATAAATTCCATTAATTTAATTTTATTAATGTAATGCGGTTGAGAAAGGCCAAATAAAGCTAAAACATACCATTGCGTTAACTACATGTAATAAATTATCAATTTTTTAACATCTTTACGTGCTCGAATTATTGGCCGTTCCTTCCGTTTTTTGTAAGTAAAAAGAAAATTAAAAAATTTAATTAATTTGGTAATTCATTTTTTATAAAAATATAAAAGAAATTATGCAAAATTATATAAAAAATGATTTATACCTATTCATGCATAGTCTTCTTAATTATATTTATCATTGCATTTTTCCATAAATGTAAAGACTTTAGAAAGAACGTATATTGTTTAACTTATTGTTAAATTATGTTTTTGTTTTTACATAATTTACATAATCTACGAAATTAATTTACATAATTTATTTTATATTATAAATTTATAGAAACATTGATCGATACTTCAGATATTTTAATACCTTTCCTATCAAAAGATCTATCGATATTATTTAAAATAGAATTTTTTTATATTAATGTACTAAAATAAAGAAAATAAATCTTTTCACTAAAAATGTTGTACACAGATTTTTACATTAATTAAATGTTGTACACAGATTTTTACATTAATTAAATGTTGGCTATTTTTAATTGCATTCACTATTTTTCGGATTTATTCAATTCATGCTCGTGCTCGTGTGTTTCATGTTTATGTTCATGTTCTTCATGATTAGAAGTAGGACTTCCGTAAAACATGAGAAGCATTCTCTCTTGAGCTTTCAACATACATTCAGTAAGAGCAAAGCTTTTTTCGCATTTTTCTGGAAGGTCTTTCGCTGAAATAGAAACAATTAATTAGGAAATGACAAGAAGTGAAGTATGTATGTTACACCTTTTCTGCGCTTATAATATTAAAATTTCTAGCATTAATTACATCAAGATTATTTAATATCTAATTTATATTGTAGATATTTAAGTTTTACTAAACATTATTAATAATTTTATGTTTATTAAAAACTAACTATCCATATATAATGTATAATTACATAACTTACTTTCATTTATGCAATTGTCGAAAGCTTCAAATAATAAACCTCCTGGTCGAGCATTTGTTATTTTAGTAATAAAACTATGCATTACTTCTATGTTATATTCCGCATCTTGCATCTAACAGGACAAGCATATAAAATATTAATAATTAGATTACATTAGACTATTTAAAAACGTATATATATGTATACATATATTTTGTAATAATATTTATATAATTTTTAAATAATATTCTATAATGTAATGAATATATATAACCATATTAATTTGTCAATAAAATTAAAAATTAAAAAATTAATTTTAAATCTAAATGGCTTTACATGGAAGATAATATGGGAAAAATTACATTTTTATTACATACTAAAGAAATTTTTTTTATTAGGATATTTAGATGTTACTTTTGTTTTAAATTATGACTACAATTTTCCTTTAAATTTATTTTTGTCTTCAATTTTTAGTTATAGACTCTATCTTTTTACAATAGTTCTTTTGTTTCTAATTTTTACTTAAATTATCTATTTATTTATTTATTAATAATTATTTGCAATAAGACATAACATGTTGCTTAGCATATGGTCGTTTAGTATCTTATTCTTTTGATCTCCAAAATATATTTGTTTTCCTAGAGACTTCCCATGAATTATTTGTAATTTACACGGCGCAACTATGGTGCATATACGAATATTTAACAAGAACATACATTTTTTTGTACTGCGAGCGAATGTATAAGCATATTTCTTCTAAAAAAGAGAGGCGGACGACAACTACTTCGTCAGTATATCGAACAAAGTGATGTTACTACAGTGAATCATTTAATTTGACATTTAACGAATATTTTACGTATTAGATTACGCACTAAAGATGACCGTATATGTATAAGGTCGAAACGTCTGTTTTGTTTGTATTTAAAGTTTTTTTATTTAAATTAATGTATTAATTATATTGTAAGATTTTTAAGAATATATATTGAATATTTGAGAGCTTATCTCTGACTCGGCTATTTAGCTCCTTTTCTCTTATTTCAAATTACATTTTTATATAAATAATGTTTTTGTATCTTAATAGTTTTAATACTGTTTTTAAGAAAATAAAAAACTACTTACTGCTCCTTTTTTTTGTGTTAAACATTGAAAGACACAACCATTCTTTTTTATTTTTTCCTGATCTTCGGATTTATGTCGGTCTAGTGTTATATCTTCCGCTGTGAACATGTCATCTAGAATATAAACAAACTTTAATAAAACATAAATGTTGTATTCACGTAAAGAAAATGGAAGATTTCGTGTTTGCTTACTAGCTTTGTTTGTAACCAACAGTATTGCACAGTACATTGCACACAACGCATTGTGTACACGATCTTATTGCACAGAGCGTATTGCATAGGGCACAAACGATCGTTACACAATACGCGACACGCTTAAACTTTAAAACTTCCCTTTTTTTTAACTATGATATACCCTTTTGATTGTTTTGAAAATTTAATATGTTGTATTAGACAAATCAAAGATTTTTTAAATAAAAAATGGTTGTAGTGTCTCAAGTACATCTATTAAAAAAAATCGAAAATATTTAAAAATTTTTTCAACTAGTTTTTTTTAGAAAACAAATTTTTATAATTTTGAAACATCACACCATTGTAACCTCTAACATATATTTTTTTCGTCAAAATCAGTTCATCCATTAAAGAGAAAATTCATTTTATCGATTTTCAATTTTACCCCTATAATAACTTTCATAAAAAATTTCTTTCGACTATAATTTTTTCCGAAATTCATTCCTACATCATCACTGCCAACTTATAATAAAAATCTCGACCAAATTCGTGCGAGGGCAGCACACACATACTTATCCTGCTGTGCCCTTTATATAAAAATATACAATTATGAATTTGCCCTTTGATTCGCAATGTGCGTATGCAGACTAGCTATGTCCGTAACACTTAATAACAATAATTTTTTTATAAATAATCAACTCATATTAATTTGATTACAGTATTAGAACTTATAATATAAAAATAGCACATAATTACTTTCATTAGACAATAATTGATTCAAAATTAAACATAAGATCTTTAATTCTCTAGAGAATTACAAAGAAATAAAGATGAACTAAAAACTTTACATTGTGTGTGTGTGTGTGTGTGTGTGTGTGTGATGTGTATGGACTTACCTTCAGATACGTTATTTTCAGTTAAGCAAGTAGTATAATTTTCATCTTTAGATCCTATCTTTGAACCAACAGTAAAAGTCTAAAATATATAAAATTTTATTTTGCCCATTACTTTAATTAAATTTTTTTTTAAAGAAAATACATATTACGCATAGATGTTGTTATAAGTTAATTATATATATAAAACAATAATACAATATTTATAGTTAAGTTGTAAAAGAATTATTACATCTACAAAAAAATATTTTATCATATTAATATTTAAATTTTATGGTAGAAAAATACTTACAACGAGCACAAAAGTGCAAATATAAAAGATAATTTTCTTCATCTTGTTCACACAATTATTTTACTATCTTGAAATGTACTTGTACATTAACATATTAAAGCCTAACAGCATCGTATTTATACTATCTGTAATATATAAAATGCAAAAATTAAAGATTGCGAGATCATAGATCAAATAAACATAAAGCAAATACTCATGCGGAAATATGATAAATCACTATAAATACACACTCATTGTTGCAAATAAGTTGTTAAGACGTACGCATACAGTTTTCTTATAGATTTGCTAATTCCTTATAATATTTATTTTTCCTTATAATATTTATATTCTTATTACTTTCCAGTGATATTTCTAAGTATCCCCTTTTCATGTTTGTGTTTTATCTTTGGTGTATATTCTGGAATTCTCAGTTTTAGTTGATAAATACATATTATAAATGGAAGAATAACTTTAAAAGATAAGCTTATATAAAACAGAATTCCTAAGCTGGATGAATAAACATAAGGATGCATTATAAATCTGAATGAAATTTTAAACTTGATTGACTATCTTTTCATGAAAATTAGAATAATTACGTTATTTAATCTACATTTTTGTTATTCTTCAATAATCATGTACATTAATATATGTATAAATGTATACATATATAAAGAGAAAGAGAGAGAGAGAGAGAGAGAGAGAGAGAGAGAGAGAAAATATAACGTGTGTATAATTTTCTAGAAACTATTTGTGCATTTATACGAATTATGAACACGATAAATAAACACATAATATTTATTTTGCTAATTTTCTTTTTAGATAAACATTAGGTATTTGAATGTCGTTATAAATATTTCTCTAAAAAATTTTTAAATGTCCGGATTTTGATTTTTAAGCAATTTACATTTGAGCGTTAAACGCATGCGTGTAATTTTATAAGAATAAAATGCAATAGATGAATTACTTAATATTAAGGTAAGAAAGTTTTGCTATATGTAAAGATTCTAAATCATGTGTTACAATTAATAAAAAGATATGATATACATATGGTTTATCCCAAAAGTAATGAAACTATTTTTTGGGGGCTCAATCAGAATTGTGGGAGTGGATTATCCATTAACCGTTGGTATAGTATGTTAGATATACAATCTGACTCTTCTCAGTTTTTTCTTTCTAGCCGTCGATACCGTCAGCAAAGTGCGTTGTAATTTTTGTGTCTTGTCACGGGCAAAAATTCAGCACAGACTGTGTTGTATTTTGAACAACGTTACGATCAAATTCCGAAGACAAAATAGCATTCCAATAAGTTGTTCTCAATATCTTCAATGTTTCGGAACCAAATTTTTCCATTTTTACGCAAAATTTGATTGCTGCTCGAAATTGCTGAATTTTCATCCGTGACACGACACAAAAATTACAATGCATTTTATTGACAATATCGACTGCTAGAAAGACTTGGAGACAATTGGAAAGGGTCAGATATTGTATACTTGACATCTTGTACCAACGGCCTCGTCCAATGGATCCACCCTTCGACAATTCTGATTGGGACACCAAAAATAGTCTCATTACTTTTAGGACAGACCATATAAATATACACATAATGAGATAAAGAGATTGTTACTATATATTTATGTTAAAAAGAGCTTTACAATAATAACAATATTAAAAATGTATATACATTTATCATTAAAAAGTTTCTTATAGTAGAGAATATAAAATTGGATTTTATAAATACTTCTGTTTTATTTCCATCTGACAATTGAAAACACAATTTTTATGTTTGTTGCCTTTTTTATTAAATTAGTAAACAATTAAGAATGGTAAGAATAAGAAAAAATATATATATATTCGTATTTATTGTAAATTATGTCTCGTATTGTATAAATTTGCAATAATAAAATTATACGGATATAATGATCAATTTTAGCAGTTCATTGTATTTATTCAGCCGGTTCTGCTACTCCTGTTTCTTCTGTTTCTGCCACTTCAACTGCTTCTTCTGTTTCGTCAGTTCCATGGTCTTTATGTTTTTGTGCTTTATGTACAGCTCTCATAACGCATGCGTACATAGAGAAACATTTCTCACATTCTTGCGTAATACCTCTCACTATGTAAAGGAAAATTTTTAAAAAATTTTTTAAAGCCGTTGAAATATATAATGTTTCTCTGGCTATTATATTTTAATGAAAAATATTAATATAACTTACCCTCTTTCAGACATTTACGTGCAATTTTGTGTGCGATTACTTGTACAGGACTATCACCAAATAGTTCACTTAATTTTGCATGAAATTGCCCTTCTTTGATGCTTCCTGATTCTTCCATCTATTATTTAAAAAAATTATAGATAATAGAAAAAATACACAATATAAATTTATTTTAATTAATTCGTGCAATTTAAGCGCTTCATAATTTAACAAGATATTTACCACAAATTAAACAGGATAATATAATAGGATAATTGCTATTAGTATATAATGATATAAATTTCTGTATTAATTTACCGTTAGGCATATATTGTTAATTGCATTAATAATTATTGCATAATAACATTACTAACCCATAAAGGCTACGTCTCTTTTGAACATCCATAAAGAACATCTGAGTGCGAATTCGCACCAACCTAACCAAGCGTTTTTAAAGTTGTATATCTCCAGAAAATAAAGAGCAAAATTAAACCAATACGTATGTTTTTCAATATAAAATTTTCTGACCAATCGATTGGTGATATTAAATTTTCGAAAAAATAACGTATTTGTTTTCAAAATTGCGTGTTAAGCAAAATCATTTCGGCAAATGCCTACAAGTTGAAAATTTTGTGGGTGCGAATTCGCA